CTTCTCCTCCTTTTCACAGGCTCTGTCCAAAAGTGTCACTCTGCTCTAAGCTGTGCAGCCAGTGTATTCACAGGACGTGCTCACAAATGCCGATTTTAAAGCCTAAAACCGTAAAGACCCGCTGGTGTTGGGAATTCTGCTTATGCTACAACTGTGTAAAAAGTGTATATGACAAACCCTAAACTGGGTTATGATGGGTTTTATTGCCAAAGGAAAAGTTCAACATTATGTTCGTTTGCTTGTATTTTTAAAATGAGATGAGAAATGTGGGCGTCTGCTCTCACACCTGTTGGTTTGTAAAAGCGTAAGCGTAGTAGACTGCTTGTTTAGACCAGCATGAACACTGCAGGGTGGAGGTAACAGTCAATACTGTTCAATTTAATCCATCCATTGCATCTCTGATGTTTCACAAGTAACAAAAAGTGACGTATAAAAACAACTAGACTGTGTTCTTACCATATAATATATTCAATGTTAGTCTTGTTTGATAGGTCTGGTACCAAAGACTGTGAAAGAAAAATGGATTTAGCTTCCAACGCTGAGTTGCACCAGCTTGCGCAAGTTTAAACCTGACCTAGTTTGACACAATCTCTTAATTAAGCTGGAGTTTTCACTCTAATGTGTCATAACAGGCTGTTGGTAGTTAAATTTCTTTCCTGGTTTTGTAATTTAGTTATATTTATTGTGTATTTTTCCTTGTGTTTCTTTTCCCTGAGTATTTCAAGCATCATAGAACAAACGGAAGAGTAGTAGACCCTAAACTGTGGAGCAGCTGACGTCCCTCATCTGCAAACTCTCTGGATGAGACAGCATTTCAGCTTCTGGAGATCAAAACCACATAAGTTAACAGAGATGTTAAAAAAGAGGAGATGCAACACAAAAGTAAACTTTAATGAATCCTGCTGCTGCTGACAATTTTTAAAGGAGTTACATTTTAGTACACATAAAATAAGTCAAAACATAAGACACCCCTGGAGTTTTGCAGGGGTGTCTAACAACATGGCCTCTCTCACTGGTGCTCTTCAGAGTGGGGATCTAAGTGTCACCGTCTTCACAATATCTGAGGTAGTCAGGGGTTCGTACGATTAAAAAGCTTTTATTTTTCAGGGCTGCAGTCAGAATAGAGGCATGCCTTTGTGTTTCAGCCATTGAGGCATTCCCTGGGACAGGTGAAACTTCAAGACATGGCTCTACTCTGACTTGTTGTGTAAGTATCAAAGTATAACATTTTTTAGTTTCAACATTTCATTTGTTGTCTTTGCAGTATTTTCACTTGAAGAGAAAGAAGCTATATTTTTGCCTGTGCTTGACTTTTGTTTGTTGTAAATTGACATGGCCAAATCACTACCACAGTGAAACCGTTTCTTTAGTTTGAGCCACTTCTACTCGACAGCACACATCAGTCTGAGTCTAATCTGTTGGCAGACAAACTAACCAAACCAGGAATCAGAGCCAGGTCTTCCGTGTGCTGCTGCGATTTCCTCCACCACTTACCCGAGCACTACACGTCTGTCTCCACTCCTCAGCCTGCTCCGTGTGCACACATATATACAAACCTCATACATCAAAGCCCTGCGCTCATTACCACGCTGAAGATAAACACGGACAGCCCCGCAGATGGTGAGCTCTAGGATAGAGGTTTCTCTGTCTATGTATGTTTGCTGAGTGTTTGTGAGGAGATTCCCTACAGCATGTTGGCAAAAAAAGACGAGTGTGTTCACTTTTTCCAATGCTGGACCTCTTGGGTTAAACAGTGAGCTGGGGATCCTTTAAAGAAGCCACTTCACAGCCGATGTGAGCCTGGTCAGCTTTATTAGTGGACGTTTATCCATGACGCTCCCACAGCTCTCTGGAAGCTCCTCCACATTATTCCAGGGCAACAGCAGGTTAATGGAAACCAGGTGGAGCCCCCTGCATTTCCTCTGACCAGGATCGAGTGATTGACAGTGAGTTGTGGCGATGAATCGGAGTGCAGCTACCCAGGCTGAGGGTCGTGGTGGAAACATGGCAAACAGCTGCTTTTCTTGGCCACAACAGAGAGAGCATTTCCATTCACCTGAGACGGCTGTTAATTGGAACGTGTGGATACGAGCGCTGATGTGTGTCTAGATTTTCTCTTTGCTTATTTGTGGTTCACTCTGTCTAACGGTTAAATACTATTGCCAGTCATCCAAACTACCAAATGTGGTGCCTGATTTTTTAATTGTATGTGTTTAAATCAGGGTGGGTGAACAGGAAGGCTGCTAAAGAGACAGCAGTCTGTTTAGTGTCACCTGTGGTTTTGGCTTGGAATGGAGTTATTTCCAAAATTATCCAAAAATATAACAAAGGAGTACTTTTCATCAGTGTATTATTGTTGCTTTACCTCGTCAAGATAACACTTTCTGGCATCTAGGTGTACAAATGTCTATTTTCTCAAAAATGACAAAATTAAACTTCTGAGCAATCAAACATACCATTTATCACATGGGTTTGCTGCTGTAGTCTTACTTGGTTTGACGTCATCAGCACATTTTGGTGGCTAAAATAATTAAAAACTTACTTATATTGCTTAATTACTTCTACAACTTTTATTTTTAAGCCAATATGATAAGTTTTAACTTTTTATGAGCACATCAACTCAAAGTAAAACAAGACTACTGGCAAACTGTTGGGCAAAGTCTCTTGGGTTTTCCATTTTAACCAGTAATTCTCAGTAAAATCAGGAAGACCACAAAAGCCTCAGATTACATTTTCCTAAGCAGCGGTGGGCTGGCTTGTTAAAGAGAAGCAGTAGGACATTTTTAATAAAATACTAACCATGTATATCCTGTTTAAAACCAGTAAATAGACTTAAAGTGGTGGATAATCTAATCTAGCAAGGAACAACAATGCTAGGATGGACAGTGCAAGTCCACCATCGTTGGCCTTTAGACTCTGATGTCTCTAGAGGACTTCCAAGACAAATAAGTGGATTTATTTCTCGATAAAGCCTGTTTTATTGGCTTTGTTAGTTTTATTCCTCTAAGATCTGTTTAATATTTTCAGTTTTGAGAATGGGATTGCACCTGCCGTCTAGTTGCTCGTATAGATTAAACAGCAAATGCAAACAGGAATGACAAACATGTTGGACAATCATAGAGGAGGAGACAAACTCAAACTCTAGCAGACTTCACTTCAGAATGAACTCAGAAAAATTAGTCAAATGTAGAGTTATTTGGCATGTTACTGTGAGCACGCTGTTGATGGGTTGTGGATCGTTTTGAGTTCAGAGGAGACTTACAGTGACCCCACCAAAGCAAAGAGAAGGAGTGACTCTCTAGATTCAGAGAGCAGCAGTGCACATAGACAGGATCAGTAAGAATCTGATCATGTGAGTTTTTACACAACCCAAAGGCACTGTCAGTTGAGATTAAGGCACAGTTTGGAGTAAAAGAACCCCCCTCCTTATAAATCCTTGTAGGACTAGACTCAGATTCTTCTCCGGTGTCTCAGACTTGATTTAGACTCACACACTAAGAACCTAAGATTTGACTCGGACTTATGGTTGGTATCTCGTCAACAACAATGCTTCGTTGGCATATCTGTGATATAGAGTGTGTGGCAATCATTTAGAAAAACTGACATGTAAAAATGTGTGTCTCCCTGACCACACAGCTTTATTTTTGTGTTGGTTTATTATTTTTTAGATATTTTGTTAAAAGAGAATTTAATGTTTGGAATTACCACCAACAATGGCAAAGGTGGGAAACATGGGGAACGATGGGAAGCTTACCTCATATTACAATTGTTCAGTATTTAATATAATCAATACGGATCCTGGAGAAAACAGTTTAAGAAATTGGTGACAAAAAGGGGATAGTACTGTCTTTGTTTCACTGCTGTTTAAAGCTTATACATACAGCCAACATCACAAGACATACAGTACATGTTGTGTTTACACAAGCAGCCAATTAGCACAAAAAGACAGCTACAAACTTCCACCATCACAGAGGTTTTATGGCCTAGTCTGTCTGTCGGTGGGTATTTTCTTTTAAAAAAAGGAGGATTTCTTCCTCTATTTACCAAAGTACCAGGCCACGACAGCACGGAAACATTCGGAAATGCTCAGATAAATAAACCACACCAGCAAATAGTTTTGTGTTTGATGTGAAAGACTGACCACACATAAGAAGAACATTGTATATGGGGATATTAGGCATCTTTATACTGTGTATGTCGAGGAGGACTAAAAGCTTTTGAGTGTGATTTATCACTTTGCCCTTCCACCATGATGCAATGATAAAGAACAGCTAGTTTTCCCTGATGACATGCACTTAAACAGAGTACCCCACAAGTGTATGACAGTAGCCTTGAGAGTGGACACATGGGCAAGTGACAGTGGGAGAGTCAGGGACCGGTACAAGTGGAAGGTAAGGGAAACCTTGCCATTCAGTTCTTGGGATTTGTAACAACAATCTGAGCTTGTCGATGGTGAAATCAGAATCATTATCAGAATACTTTTACCCTCGGGGGAAATTCAGTCAAATAAAGCACTTGTAGTGGGCACAGTTTGAAGATGCCCAGTCAAACTACATTTCAGCTCTTTTCGCGGAAGCCAGCTGCTCTGCTCTCCCTTAATACAAGACCGATTTCAGAAACTGATCTCCCTGTCGGTCAAGCACACACAAACACATAGGAAAATAGGGCCCAGGTTTAAAAATACTGGTTCCCCCTTAGTGTTGCAGTGTCACTTTACCCAAAATTAAGTAGAAGAGAGACAAAGTTAGATTTTTATTTTGACAGGAACTTCATCAGCAAATCTTCCTCTGTGCCATTTCAATATTTTGGGAAAACTGCCACATCAAACATCTCTCTTTAATGGTTTAAATTTTAATGTATGAAAAGTAAATTCATTGAATTATACACTAAATGGTGTCACCAAATTTCTATTTTTACCATCCAGATGATCGATGTGCAGAAAATTAAAATATTTTAAAAGGGTTTTCAACTTCAATTCCTGACCACAATTTATTTATCAATTTTTTTTTTTTTTTTTTTACTTAAAAAAAATATGATTGGTCATCTGTCAGTTTCAAAGACATGCATTTAGTGACCAAGTAAGATGCACTGATTTGTAGCTGTGTATCTATTAAAGTAAACACAAATGAGACACCGGTCTTATTTGCAAAATACTGAGCTACAAGGTTGTATTTTCTACTGCAGCTTAAGGTCCACTTGTGTGGTCTTGAAAGAGACCTTTTTTTAAAAGTTTTTCAGTGAATATGTCATCCTCTTTTGGTCTTTCACTGAGCGTCTGAGTCCACAAACAAAAAATCGCAGAGTGCTCTTTCATCTCTTAACCATGTCTGTTGTTAACTGCTTGGTGAAAGAACATGACACCCAGGGTGACAGAGGGATTACTTGTTCTATATTTAGTGTTTATGTACATGAATATTGGCAGGACAACTCTGTACATGTGACACACACACACAGCGATACAGTGATAATAACACAGATCTGCAGCACGGAACACATTTACAAGATGGGCTCTAGAGCAAACACTGGCTGAGATACACAAGGGAATGTCCAAACTACGACAACGTCCTCATAAAACTGGAATTTCCTCGTAACAGTTATTATTGTCATCAATAAAAACAGACAATCAAAAATAGACAAAATGTATGAAATAATTTAAATTCCTTCTAAAACATGTAGTGAGTATGAAGAGAGAGATCTATACAATGCAGGGAGCTCCTGTATCTCCTCCGGTCAACGTGATCTGAAACTGAAGGAACACACAAAAATGACAGACAAAAGCAAATGTCATGCAGCAACAAAGAAACATACGAGATGAAAGATGATCTCTGGAGGTTAGCCTCCTTAGTGCTGACATGATGTCAAGCCTGGAAACGAAGCACCTCACGCTACGGGCCACCCAGAGGTGCCACAAAGAAATGTAAACATAAATATACAGGTTGATTTCTCTCTCTACAAACAGTTCAGTCACTGCCACAGGCCCGTCCGCTGTGTGAGTAGTCAGTCTGTATACACTCCTTAGTAGAATATCACTTAGAGTTAAATAAACTTATTCAATATATATATTTATAATAGATTTATTATTTGCAGAGTCATTTAGCAGTATTTCCTTGTTTTCACCAGTTTGCTCTGGTATTTCACCGAGTGACCACTGTGTCCCACCACGTAAACGTCCAGCAGGTAGGTCTTCCCCGGCTCCAGACCTGTGATGGTCTCTGTGGTCACAGCTTTCTGCAGATTCGGGCTGTGGAAGTACTTGCACAGGACCTTTTCTGACTTCCTGCGGGTCTCTGGCCCAGCACACTGGTTCTGTTCCCGGCGTCGCTGCTCCTCGCCATAATTGTCAGCCACCTCCTTGCGGTAAATGCAGAATTTGTTGCGGTCCTGTGTTCCCAGCCAAGCCACGGTGACGGAGGAACATGTACGCAGCTTGTCAAAGGCCTTGATTCGTGTGTCCTCTGGAAGCGAAGGGAAGGGCTGCTTGCTGCTGGGTCGTGTGGTCGCTAGCACTTTCAAAGTAGAGGCACCTTTCCTGCTGCCTCTCAAACGGATCAGGTACTTTGCTTTTGGCTTTCCTCGCAGCTGGAACTGCCGAACCCCCTCTACGTTCTGGGAGAGCAGCAGCTTACCATCACGCCTCACTTGCACCTGCACAGCGTCCAGACACGTGTGAACAAATAGAGTGACCCTCTGATGGGAGGACACAGGGGCAAAGCGCAGGAACTTGCTGCCCTTCCTCTTAATGAAAACGTCAGACACTTTGCCGTCTTTCAGCTCCACTGTCTTCTGTCGAGCCTCCTCTTTCGTGCGGGCGAATGTTCCCACGTACGCCGTGCTGGTGTTGGTTGCAGAATTCACAGCGAACACGTCAAAATAGTACTGCGTGTCTGGCTTCAGGTCGGACACAGTGAAAATGTTTTTATTGCCAATGCACACCTTCTGAATGTCTGAAGCTTTGGGTTTGATTGTGTACGACCGTGAGATCTTGTTGCTCATGAGGCCTCGGTCTTTGCCAAAACCATTGTCAGAGGGCACAAAGCCAAAGTGTGCAAAGTCAAAGGGGCTGAAGTCTCGCCCCGGTTTCGGAGCCAGCATGAATGCATCATCAGTGCTCATCTTAGCCTCAGCTGCACACATGCTCTTGAAGTTATGCTCCTTGTTGATGACGACACAGTACTGAACAGGCTGACCCATCAGAGAGCCTGTGGGTGTCGGCTTCCAGGCCAGGGTGACTGTGGTGCGTCCCAGCGCAGTCACATCCACCCGGGGGTCGTAGGGCAGCTCTGGGTAGGGCTGGTCGGACTCTGGAGTGGTGGTGGCATACACCTTAAAGTTGCTGTCCTTCTCTGTGGACAGCAGCTCCAGCTGGTAGAGGCCAGAGGGCGTGCTGGTGGCCACGTAGGACTCCACGTCGTTTCCTTTGTAGGTGAAGAGCTCTGTCCCCTCGTCTACAGTCACCTGCTGCTGCTGCTTCTGCTGGTCCAGAGGTTCAGGAACTCCTAGATGAGAAACAGAAAAAGAAACAACATAAGCACTCTGCTGAAATGCAAATTCAAATTGGATTTAACCAGTTTGCTCGGATAAAAGAGGTCAGATTAGCTCATTTCTTCACTTCATCCTGCACCCTTTCACAACATTGTGTCACAAAATAAGTGCTCTTTTTGCATACTTGAGATGTACTGTATATTTCTTATTTTATAAATTATGCATTTGTGGATATTTAAAGCATATAGTACTTGTGTGAAAATATGCATACATTTTATCAAAATAGTGGGCAGTTGTAATTAATATGAGTGACACTGCATTGTTTATACACGCTGTGTTCTTGGAGGTAAAGGGTTAACTGTCAGAAAGAAAGGTTAAAAATTGTGTCAAGAGGTTTAAATAACAGGAAATCTATAAATGAAATGGCCTAAAGTAATAAAGTACATTTGAAACAAGTTTTATGTGTTGGTACTGCGAGGTCACGAAGCTCTGTATGCCTCACGGACGATTAGCCCCTCACATGGCAGCCATGTTTTTACTCCAAACATCCCCAAAGATCACAGAGCAGCATTCACTCGGTTTTCCGGGGGAACTGTGCAACAAAGATGTTCTTGTAGCTTGTATGTGAGAGAGACGGTCCAAGAAAAATATTATGTTTGTGGGCCAGAGAGTGTGCTCAGTGGTGTACTAAAAATTAACGATCAAAGATTTAGTCCCATGGCAGACTGAAGCAAAAAGAGCTGGAAAGATGGGAAGTGGTTCACTGATTCAGATGAAAAACGCTTGTTTCTTTAAAGCTGGTGTTGGGTTCACATTAGTTAATAAACCTCAGCTGGAACATGAAAAGCTTTATTTTAAGGCAACTTACGCACATTCAGAGGTGGGAAGTAATGGAGCACTGACGCTGTCACTGAACTTAAACCTACTGTGACGAGTTTTAAGCTGGTTATTACACAGACTGAAATAAGAACTGATGCCATGAAACAACCTTTGAAAGCAAAAGAGACCATCAGTAAGAACATTAATCCCTTAAAGACAGTTCAATTTAGCTCAGCGGTTAAATCTCATGTCCCCTACTACAAAGACTTTAATCCACAAAGCAGGCAGCCCGGGTTCAATTCTGACCTTTGACCCTTTACCACGTCATCGCCCGCTCGTTTGCAAGTTTCCCACCTTGTCTACTGTCCCATGCTGAAGGCATAAAAAGCCAAATGAAATGAAATTACAGTGAAACTACTATTCACTGATAAGATCTAGAAAAAGTGCCTCATAACACAAATTGGAGTGTCTTTATCCACATGTTCCTCAAGAATCCACACTGAGTGATGTATTTGACAACTGAAAGGCAGCACTATGAACATTTTTCATAACACAAAGATGGGACATGTATAGGCCAAGATAGGCAAAACATTTGTAAGGAAAGGTCAATTCAGGTCATCAAAATGTACACATATCAAAGGTCCCCTGTAGAAGTGGAGGTTTAGGTGTCTGTAGGTAACTCTTTCTCACAGCTTTTTTTTTTACACATTACATTTCTATTTCCATCCAACACGGGACAACAGCTTTCCTATCTTTGTGCATCAACAGTGTGTCCCGCCCTGCCTCCATCTGTTTCTCTTGTCTGGATGTTTCTGATCTTTTGACAAATACATCAGCAGCAAAATTATTACACACTCTTGAATAATTTGGCTTACATTCTGAGTTTAACTGTCACAACAGGTGGTATTTGTATGTACACGAGTATGCTGCAATCACATAAGGAAAAAAAAAATCCGGTCTGTTTTTCTGAAATAAAATGATTGCCTAAGCTGCACCACATGTGTGTCCAGTAGTTCAGCATTTGTATACTTGTCTCTTTAAGTCGGCCTGAATACATTTCATATGCATCATCCTAATCCATAGAGAATACTGTATCATCTGACCCTAGAGAAGCTCTGCAATCAGAGCAGGCTTTATGTATGACAAACAGTAAAGCTTTAATGCAGTAGTGCAAAATTAACACATTCACACACTAATACCAAACATTCACATCAGCTGCCATGTTACCTAAAGACATGGGAAGCTCCCAATGCCTTAAAATTATTATTTTTTAAATCATCTTTTCTCAAGGGAATGCAATGTGCTTCAGTGTAAACTAAGACCAGTGAAAGACTGGCATTTTACAACGGTCCAAACTAGAGCAGGTGGACATCAGCAGCAACCATCAGCACAAAACTTTAAAAACGCTGTATGAGAGGCTTGAGATATTACATGAGAAGTCCAGTTTCTTAGATGCACTCAATGAGAGACCTACAGTTGGACCTCTCTCCATTACTGCAGAGCATGTTTGAGTCATTGCAGCTTATCAGATGTGAGAATGTCTTGTTTAGGAATCAGAACAAGAAGGAGGCATCTAAAAATGTTCAGATGGACAGAGCTCTGCAATAGTTGCGAGAAGAAATACCAGCACAGCCCACCCAAGTATAGTCTATGTGCATGAAACATAGTGTGGTTACATATAGAAGCCAGTTTTCACACTGGAGCAATGCTAATTATTTTCTGGAGAACTTGTTTTAATTGGATTAAGGTTCACCGTCACACAGTCTCTCTGGCGTCCACATTTTTTAACAAACTCAGATGTGGTGGTAACATTACAAAAGGGAGTAGTTTTGCGGCAAATGGGATATCACAGAAATTGCAACAGGTATAAATAGACTTCCATTTCTCATTTGGACATATCCATAAGTGAAATTAGGTGCATAAGTCTCTCGTATGACAAGAAGTTTTTTTTTGCAGGACCAGTTAGTTAATATTTCCTTCACTGATGTAGTTCTTACTTTATACTATCAAGACATTTCAGCACTTCTCTAATTTCCGTAAATATGTATAAAGTTGAATATTTTTCATTACCAGACGTATTGATTTTATGTGTTCTTCTACTGGGTAAAGAAAGTGTCTGTTTTTGACACCGCTGGCTCTTCCGCAGTCTAAAAACCCCTAAAATTCATTTGGGTTATTAGATCTGACGAGAGCACAGACACACTTGCAGGTGTTCATGTGTTGGTATTCAAATTTATGCTCACATCATGCATGTATGATCGAAACCACTGCACCGTTATCCGGTGCTGACACAACTCTTCCAGATGGACAATGTTTAGATTAAAATACAGACATAAAGGTGGAAAGTTGAGGAGGAAGAAAGGCAGACAGAGAAAAAAGGCAGCTTAAGTAAAGGGATGTAATGTCTTTGATTCAGCAGGGTGTCTAGAGTGAAGCCCTTCTCTGAAATTATAGACGTCAGCCTGGGCCGAGTCAGACATCATAAGTGGTCAGACCAGACACCACGACTGCGTCTTAATTAAAACCCACCAAAACACAAAGCCTAACATCACTGCGTGGCTTAATTGTGTGTGGGGGATAGTGATATTTCCACAGAACGTGTCATTAACCTCGTCCACTGCTGCCTGATGTCAATTATACCTGATCCCTCTCCACTGGCCTCCTCTGGCAGCTCCTGCAGGGTTAGTTTCCACTCTAGAGGAGCATCACAAGGTGTCACGGTCACAGACAGGGGTGTGTTGTCTTCCTCCACCACAAAATAGTACCTGTGTGTGGAAATAATAGGTTACAGGAGCTGATATTGACACCACTTTGACATTTACCAAAATATTATACTAGGTAAATGAATGAGCAGTCTCAATGAGATCATCAGTCTCTCTTTTCTCTTTTTGCTCTCGATTACACAAACACTGCTTTCTCATTTATTATTTACTTTTTGCATCAACTTAATGGATCACGTTTCAGATCAACATCTCATGCCTCCTATCTGTTTACTGAAAGTGATCCCCTACAGCCGGCACATGGTGGGTTTGGCTGTGTTTTATGCTCATACTTGAACAACATGTTGACAGTTTTAATCGCCAGGATTGCGAAACTTATTCAGCCGCTGTTTGTCTTACCTCTTGGGTGTGTCCCTGAACAGGTAGCCACTGATCTCAGCCCCATCTGGGATGACAGAGGAGTCATGAAACAGCGTCTTGTCTCTGATCTGCATCTGGAAGAGGCCTTCATCTCTCGTAGGCAACTTCTGGGCCAAAGCTCCAAGACCCAACAGCACCAGCAGCAGCACACTCCAACCTTTACACTGCCTCATTCTGTAAGACAGAAAAATATGACTTTGGTTACGTTTACGGGAAACAAAAGACAACATTTTTGTCAAACAGAGGCTCTGATTTGAAGAAATTCAGCAGTTTACCCCAGACTAGAGCTTTATATTTATTTGGTAGAGTTTAAAACTTGTATCAAGGACTGACTGACCTGACACTGCAATTATACCGATGACTGAAATGTTGTTGGTTTTCCCTCATTTGTATGAAACATATTTGGCTACTGTCTTGATTAGGCCTCTTATATAAAAGGCTTTATTTTTTCAGTGGGAATATTCCTGGTTAAGGTTAGTATAAAATTCCAAAAAAAGAGTAGTGCTACATGAACTGACATACCCTTCTTATGAGTTCATATTTACTTGGATCTGGTAGCTTACTAGCTGAGGAGAAATCTTTTGACTGTATGGAGGAGGAACTGCCAAGCCAATACGACTTCTATCACACAACAAATACCAAATTCATAACCTTTCAGTTAAACATTTACGGTTTTTACAAATAAATAAAAAGGGATGTCTGGAGCCCCCGATAACCAGGTCAAGACAAAAAACAACCACATGCAAATCTGTGTGCATGGTTTTCTATAGTCACAGATTGTAATCTGTACTGTACCCATGGATTTGCAAATTGTGAACATGGATTACAAATCTGTTTGCAAATCCATACCAGAGATTTATAATGCATGGCCATGAGATGGTTATAAACCTCTATTCTATGATGGCCTCTTAGTACCAGATTTAAAGAAAGAAAAAAAACACCTGCCAGATTAGCCAGCTTCACTCAGCTGCACATCTAAAGCAAGCCAACACCCCATCTTCAAAATAAATCCCTTTAAAGTTGCAAGCCCTTAACAGCATTGTGACAAAGCACTGTTACTCTCACACATTTGTTTTATCATACTGATTCCATGACAGAACAATATCTGTGTTCCTGTGTGTGATTTTATCTTGAAAAAGTATAAGTGGTCCACATGGTAGGAGCTTCATATACACAGCACTGTTCTGCCCTGCCCCACTAGTTCACAGTAGCCCAGTCTCAGTCTTGTGCATCTGTTAAAACTTCCAGTGCTGATGGGACAACCTGGTCCCACCACTCTGTGACATTCATATTAAAGGTTTGATGTTAAAAGGGCACATATGTTACACCTTTAACTGGTAATATGGGATCATGATGTTACACCAATGTGCCAGCATCAGAGATTGTTAGTAAGGTGTTACAGGGGAAGACAAAATCACAGTAAACCTGCAGATATAGTGGATAAAAGCAGTTCTTTGTGTTCGTGCGTGCGTGCGTGTGTGTGTGTGTGTCTAACTAAACTGTGTAATTGTTTACACCAAAGACTGTATAACACATGGACAAAACCTCAGTGATTTCACCCACTGGTTTCCGAAGAGGCATAATGAAGGGTCACCTACTCATAAGTCAACCTAAACCCAGACATGAAGATGAACTTAAGGCGAACTTTGAGCCTCTGGTTGAACAGCTACCTACCACCCACTAAAGTTTAACATCACTTTACTCTAATTGGGCCATTTATAACTGTTATTAATGATATTTCCAAAAAAGGAGTCTTGATGAAAAAATCACCACCATACTGTGTGTCTGAGAGGTACATTGTACTATTCAGACCAGAACTTTTTTTTTTTTTAATATGTTAAATTTTGATGTAAAATTGGTATTTCAACATAAGTGTCAATGGGGCACACTGACTTTATGGAACTGGCCTCAAGTGGACACTTGTGGAACTGCAGTTTTTCCACTTCACACAGCAGCAGCCTAACTTTTTGCCACTTGGTTTACATGTCACATCTCTCTTGCTTCTACAACACCATGACAAAATGTAAAATCACTCCAATAACACACCATTCATTGCAGTACTGTTGCAAACATACTGTAGAAGAAAAGCATCAAGTTCATCAGCTTCAGTCTCAAGCTTTGCAGTAAATATACAAATAAGTGAATTCTACCTTCTTATCTAACTCAGGTAGAAAGCTGACAAAAGCATTTAAATCAAACACCTGTCATCTTACTGTAGAATAATAAAAAGAGTGACTGCTGGGCAAAGCTTTGACAGAGCTGGGTATCCTATTAGCTCCTGTTTATAGTCCTTATGCTGGGCTAAGCTAGTTGGCTTCTCTATGCAAAACATATTTTAACAAATACAAAAGTGATGTTAAACTTTCTATCAAAATTTTACAACAAAACTATGGCATAAATTGAATCAGTATTTGCTCTAAATGGTCAAACACTAAGAAATAGGTTGCCTTTGGTGCCAAGTTAAGCTAATAAGCCACCAGTTTTGATTCAATATTAACTATAAAGACATGAGTGATACCCTTCAACACAAACTTGAAGAGCTGAATGAACAAACTTTCCCAAAATGTCAATCTAAAACTATGAATCATAACTTTTTTTTTACAACGGCAGGGAGAGCTTTTCCTCCTTTTTGTGGTCATGATGCAGTATAAACATCAGCTAGTATTTAACTCTGCTGGAATAACCCAAGTAAACAACCTGTGTGAATCTTACAATGTCTTTTCGTAACACACACAAACAATCAGTGCAGAAGGCAGCTGGCCTGCATGTCAGAAACGTCCATTTTTGCTGTGGAAGTCCTGAATTGCTTTTTTCCTTTCATTCTGGCATAAGCTTAAAACACAAAGCAGCTCTAATGAGAAATCTTCCAGGCAACACTGAGCTTTGGCAACAAACATCCTAGTATTTAAAAAGGTTTTCCCTACTACATATTTAATTTTATGCCTGAATGTGTTTTCTTCCCCTCTTTTCCTTTTGGATTTAACCTCAATTAACATTTAAAATTAAAGCAGGCGACACCACAGATACCACCTTCGAGTAAATCACAGAGTGAGAGAGACAAAAAGCAAAGGCAGCGTGAGTAAGTCCTCTGGGCTACAGCGAGGAAGGGAGGATGAGGATTAGACTTAAACAGACGTGTGAAGGAAAAGACATCCCGACAAACTGCAGGGAACCGCACTATTTCATAAAATGCTTACCATAAAAATCCCCAAATCCATGTCATTTCAGTTTTACTGCTGTGAATATAAAAACGTTTAGCAGGCACTCCGCAGATGGAGTTGTGGTTGGGACGAGGTGCAGCTGAGAGCCTCTCACGTATCCCCTGTCTATTGATTTTGCCCCATTGATTGCAGCTGATGGGAACGCCAAATCCCTGGTGATTTAATCAGTGTAATGATGGCAGATTAGCCAGATACTTTACTGCCATTTACTGCAAGTGAGATGTGTCCTTTTAATGACCCCTCTCTCTTTCTTTGCTCCCCCTTCCCCCGCTTGTCTCTTTCTGTTGATCACAGTTTTCATCAACAATTAATCTCTTTCTCTTTCTCACTTGTACGCAAACAGTACCGCCTTTTAACTTTTGTTCCTCTCTGGATTTCCTCCTTAAGCACTCACAAAAAAGTGAAACCAGAGGCCTCAGTCCTGCACGAAACTTTACAGAACAAACATTGCTTTATTTTGATACTAACATTCTTTCTTTCTGACTTTGTAATGAAGGGTCTTGTGCAGATAAATGTACGCTCACAGAAGGTTTTAGATGTGAAACTCTATCCAAACTTCCCTGATATTGGGTCTGTTTTGGGCATGGTTTTCCTTTGTTACTGTTAAGTCGTTTATTCAGGGACCCAATCATATGGTTGCACCAAGTCTGAGTCACATGGCAACCATCCATGTGCCATTCATCCTCAGCATAGGTCCTTTACACCTCTGGGTAATTATTACCTGTTTTGTGTTGCCAGTAGTTGTCTATTTTCAGCTGCAAGAGTTTAATAGGGGCTTGGATTTTCTAATTATGTGAAGTTTAGAGGCTATTTAATTAAAAGAAAAAAAGTATTAATTCAAAAATCATTATTGCTTCCTCTGGCTGTTTTCATCCATGAAAACATTGTTTTTGGGCAGCTGAAAATACAAACTTTTAAAATGAGGTTCATGAGTGGAATCTTTTAAAAACGCTACCCTTTCCGTCAACCTCTAAACTGGTGTAGATTCAGTGAAAAGCCAATTCAGATGTTCACATCATGCTCCAAACTCCTGAAAAGTTTAAAACAGAATGCATGTGTGAACACTCACACACAGTGACGTGAGCCAATGTGCGAATGCAGTGGGTAATAGTCAAAAAAATTAATCCGCAATGATTGTAAGGAATGATGTTGCTTATGTTTAGCAGTGTTGTCGAGTTTTCTGTTGTGTTTGTAAGGTACACACATCTTCATACACGCTCAAGTGACATCCTGCTTGAGTGAACTGCAAGTTCTTGGACATATCCAGAAAGTTTGAATCGCTCGTTGGTTAAAAACCTGATGATTTAATGTTAGCTTGAAATGCAGGTCATGTTTGGGCTAAGAGATAGCAGCCACCTGCCACGAGCCAGGGCAGTAACTACAGTTAAGTTGCAATACTATAACGCTCTACTATCAAGATATGGACAAGCACAGTATGTGTGGTGGTACATGTGGTACACAGCAGAGGGTTAAAAAGAGAAAATGGATGTAAAGTTTCATATTGCATGTGTCAATTTCAACTGGCAATTGAACACTTTACGAAGACCCAAGGCTGCTAGTGCTAGCTCTGCTATTGTTAGCCACTCTCTGTTAACGAATCTGACATAGTTAACCTTGCAAGCAGCTGTGTTTGATTTGGGTTGTTTCTTACCTACAGACTGGGGCTGCATGATTTTGACCAAACTCGACTTCAGATTTAGATATTTTATTTAGTGACACCTTTAACAAACTTCACTTTAAAAGTAAAACGTTTTTCTATCATCTCTCAAAACAAAACCTATGAAAACAATGAAGTGCATATGCCGTGCCAGTAAGTGGCGCTGTAACGCCGCACAGGAAATGCACAAAAGACAGAAGAAGAGTACAGAGCCTGCGCATTAAGGCTGTTTTGGCCGGACACGTGCAGGCTCCATAAAAGAGTTACGCTGTGTGTCACAAAATCGTTTCAAGAGAGATGCAGATCGGCACCCACACAGAGATGAGATGGTAGTCAGTTACAGATTTATGCACCCTTTGACCCGTTTTCAAAGAGTACAGTTTACAGTCACCCAAAACACTGTTTCAATGTGGATAAAACACCGAGACATGATAGAGAGGAAAATCGATTTGATGATTTTAAACATCGTCATAATCAAATAATCCGATTATGATTTAAAATCGATCAATCGTGCAGCCCTACTACAGACTAATAGCCAGTTTGGAGTTTTGGAATTTAATTTCAATCCCAACAAATCACTAGTGCCTGTGTAAAAAGAAAAAGCCATGTGTGTGCTAACTGCTGATTCTAATGTAGATAGCAAGGAAAATCTTAACATAAAGGGACCACTTGAAAGTTTCAAGAAACTTCTCACAGTCATCCACATAATTCAGATGCAGAGTAATCTCTCTACAGTGACTGTCAAATGTGACACTTTTATGTAAAATGGACAAAAATGTAAAAGGAGCTGCATTCAAAGCTACATCTTTTTTTTAAATAGTCTGTTTTGTTGTCTGTCAGATTTTAATAAATGCATGACACTCTTTTAAAACAAATATTCATTCACTATTTTAAACAAAATCTCTAAGACTTTAAGAACACAGGCAGTTTTGAAAAAAAAAAGTCCTTGACAGCTCCTGTCAGTGTCTCTGTCTGTGCCGTTGTCTAAGCCCGGCCTCCCGCTGCACCGCTAAACTTCAGAGAGCAGAAGGAAAGCCGCCTAAGTGGTACTTTGAGGTTTTGACTCACACAGAGAGGGAGATCCTTATCGCCTCAGCTTGTCCCATTCCACTTCAGAAGCGTGTCAGTTTGAACAAAGACATGTCTATTAATACCCAAGACAGCGCTGAGGTGGTATGTACAGAGCTGCTCAGAGCCGTCTCCCACACAGACACAGCGAGGGACACGTCCCCCGGCCTGCTCCGTCCACCACACTGATGTCACCACGCATAATGTCTGCTATCACTCATACAGTAAGGGTTTTATCACCACTGTCATTAGCACATTTGATGTGTGCTCTTCACATGTGACACTGCTGATTTAAACCCAGTGACTGAACCCCCTGCTTCTCCCACATGCACCAAACCACTCAGCCTGTACTGACAGAAAATACTGCCGGGAGATGACATCTGAATTTTAGAGCAGTTGTGTCTGGTCGCTGCGGTTGCATGGAACAGCGCAGAGTCAACATGGTCACACAGGCTCTGCTCTGGATCTGCTCTTACATGCACCATTCTCATGCCACAGAGTTCCCTGACCAAAATAACACATCAAAAACCTTACATCTGGAACAAATAAACTCTAATGTTTAATTAGGACGAGGGAAGAATGTATGATCGCAATTTGAGGAACGGATAATTTCAAGGCAAGGTCAGCCACAATCGTGTCAACTTTGTTTTGCTGTTGCTTTTTATCTGTTATTTATAAATCTGAAGGTTTTTGTTTCACTTTTTGTGGAATTTGCTGAGGATTTTCTGGTGGAAAACATCTCGTATATTGGAATTGGCAGGCTGTGGAGTCTGTGTAATAGGATTAAAGGACAAATGCAGCTTCCACTCGTAGAGGAAATGGCGATGATCATTTTTCCCATGAGTCTTTGACACATCATGAGTCTGAATCCTCAACATAAAGAGCCAGAAAATGACCGTGCAGAAAATCTCCATTCCTTTGTGATCTACTTCTATAACAGCTTTGACCCCGCTCTAATTTGGGGTCATTACAGGCAAATCATGTGCAAAGCCAAACAAAATGTTCACACTGGGTTTTACATCTCCCAGCTGGACGCTTTGTTTTCTCTGACATCAATCAACCTCAGGATTAAAATCATTTTCAATCTCCTCATGATTAAAGCAGAAAATAATACCAGTTACATGCGACTATCCAGCCACCTGATCAGCCCGGTGCATGCCTGTTTCAGGGTCTCTAACGACAGGAAGACCGCCATTATATGCACTTGATTTCCAAGTATGGAGGCGCAGCACAACCATAGACTGGGAAATAAAGGATGTGGCCTCCATGCTGTTACACACTGTTTTTTTGACTATCTTTATTAGGCCTCAAGCTCAATATTTTGGTCATCAAAATGCTGCTTTCCTGGAGCCAGGAATGATCAAATCTGGATGAGAGGGGGGAGCTGAGAAGGAGTTAAGAGCTGGAAAACAACAAGTTATGAACGGGATGTGCTTGTGGCTGGTGGATTGGCTGAAAAGATGGTTTCTGGCCATCACATTGACCGCAGATCAGGACTGTATTTGTTCTTGTATCTGACAGATATTGTTTTGTATGAGACTGAAGACGCTAGGGGGGAAACTTTCCACTTGTTCACCCACTTGTGTGAAGGAAAATTATGTGTAGTGTGGATAAAAGACTGTTTAAGCTAAAAGAAAGTGAGGTGTCCTCTTGATCTGGGTGCTATATTTTCTCTAAAGGAAAAGCCAAAACTATTAACCAATACTTTATTAACTTTGTTTTAATTTTGGAAGCTGCAAGTGAGCCACAGTTGGAAACCTGTATGCATGGCTTCTACTTTCTGTACTTCATGGAGCAATGTTAATTAAACAAGTAAATAAATGACAAAATATAACTCCTTTGCACAAGTCATCACTGATGAATAAATATGTGGCAAACACTGACCAAACTTTCACTGCATGTTTAATAAGTGCAGACACAGATGCCTGCTAAGTAGTGCAAACATATCAATAAATGTACCATAAGTCAGACACTCCAGGTTGTATTGGTTAAAAGCTTTTTGCAGCAGCAGATCATACATTCGATTCAGACTTAATCACTCTTCACACATTTATATGAGATTGAAGATACAATATCTTGAACCCACTGATGGAGGCCTGCAAGTGGATACCGGTGAAGTGGTGAGGCTGAGAGTTTAAGCACAGCACCGTTGCATGGAGTAATAAAAGAGCAGAGGGAGTGAACTAAAATCTTAAATGTCAAATATTATGTCTGCTCATGTTGGCTAGTGAGCAAGCATTTCTCCTTTTTGTGCTACCAAAGTAAATGTATCATGAAGCTTTTTCAAGGCCAGTATAAATACATGACTGCAATGCAATTAAAAATTTGTATGAATAATCTCAAAAAGGCACCAGCAATACAAAATGTTTAATTCCAGTTGAGATCACTTTTGATAGAGACATTTATTTGCATGTAATTGTTACATTTTCAAGCTCTGGTGGCCAGGCACTTTAAGCGTGCGCCCCGTGAACTAATGATTCCTCAAGCTGGTAACCTTAAGTTGATTCCTACCTGCAGCTTCTTTACTGTTTGTCACTCTCACCCACTTTTTCTGCCTTATCCACTGTCCTGTGCTCTCAAATTGAAGCACAAAAAGCTTTATTAGAGGTAACTGGTGGTATGGCTCTGTTCGGAGAGCTTGCTGCCCTTTCATATAAGTAAATGGAATGCAAAAGCCTGAGGCCGGGTGAGCACATCTCCCCTCTGTTTTTTGTGTATGCATGAAAAGCAGGGAGAGCAACAGCAAAGACCTACAAGAACAGAGTTCAACATGGTGAAATCAGATGCAACATTTAAGGGAAAAGCTGGGCTAACATGACAGGTAGGCAGACTGGAGCAGTTTAGATAGAAGTCCCATTGACACAGTCTTGAATCAGATATGTAAGAGGTAATCAGCTGATCAGTGCAGGAGTTAAAGTCAGCTGATGCCCAGCAACCAGCTAACTTTATGTCTAATATAACTTCAACAGGTGAGTCATGTAATAATCCAGCTTCCACTGAGTGGTGAGGATTGAGAAATAATGTGTGGAGACCAGAACTGTTTCTCGTATCAGACTGTCAACATGTGAAATTCAGCTGTAGAGTTGAGCATTTTTACTATGGGGATTTATGGGGACAGTCTCACTTTTAGTACCAGCCTCAAGTGGCCACTCAAGGAACTGCAGTTATCGAAACTTCTTTGGGTTCGTTATCAGCCCTGAAGTTGAAGCATAGTGCCGTGGATTAGCAGAACACAAACATATAAATCCCAGCTATGTTCTCCTGCACATGTACGCAACCCTGACCTCCCCTTTTCTCCCCTCACTTTATTTAACCGCTCTCTCTCTCTCTCACTCTCCTTCCTTCTCCAGCTCCTTGTCAGGACGGATAAGCGTCCTGCTTGCTGCCACATGGAGCTCATTAACAGAACGGGAGGGAATAAAAGACAGTTTAATTTCAACACAAATAAAGAGACATTTCGGATTCCACCCAACAAGACGCCTGGCAGGACCTGAAGCCTCCGTGTGTGTTTTCTTTAAGGAAACTCTGAGGGCAGATTTATGGTGGGTCCTCGGCAGCGAGCTCCATCACTGCTGTCACTTCAGGGCCAACATGGGGATTGAACCCATGAGTGGGGTGTATGAGAGTGGGTAATGGGGCACTGGGGGCTAAGGATGGAACCACACAGGACTTAACCTGTGCTATAGGAAGGCGAACACCAAAAAAAAATGGAGGTCTGGTGCTTTTGGACAGCTGAACAGCTCATTAATGAGTTGGTAGAGACTGTGGTGAAGGCTCCAGTCCAAGAGTGGAGATTTTTATCTGGTGTATGCGTCCAAACCATCAAATTCCTCCTCTGCAGAGTCTAAATCATCACTTCGACCCGTCTCCTCGCCATCCACAACATCACTCACAGTTTGAGTTTCTGAATCATCACAACCACCAACGCTGGCACAATAGCATGGTGGAAAAGAGGAGCCCAGTTTCCTTCTCCTCTCTCCCCTCCTCCCCCTCTCTGCAGCCTCTTTATAGTCCATCTCTGGAGCTTGCATTTAGCGCTGCATCCTGGAATGTCTCTGTGAGGAGGGTCAGGTCGCAGGGCCGCTTTCTGAGTAAAAAGCATTCAGATAGAATTGAGGGGCGGGGGCTCTGACTGATGTGCTGGCATTGTGGCTTTAAGGACTGATTAAAGATTAGAGGGGAAAAATGCCCCCATGGGAAAGCCATCCACCCACTGCCCATCATCCAGGGCACACACACAGAGCTGCATGCACGCACGGGCCTGCGTGGTTGCATCGTGGGAACTGAGTCCATCATGCTCCGTTATGTTGTGCTTGAAGGGGAAGCCTGTTCAGCAGCGAGTGTGAGCCGCTCTGCCTCCTGCTTGTGTCCATCTGAGAGGAGCACAATGAGGGGCTTTGCGTAATGAATGCGCCCGGGGAGCTGGGAGGAGAGGTGTGGATATGATGAATAATTTAACAAGGAAGGAAGTGCAAAACTTAACGTCCTTAATCTTCCGCCACTGACTCTGTGTGAGTGTGTGACAAAAGGCAGCGCGGAGCAGACAGTATATACACCGCAGCCTGTCACTTCTCTGGACGCACACGGCCGCAGCAACACTGGCGGAATTCTTTCAGCCACAGAGTTTTCATATGCAAATCACGGTTTAGTTACGGTATGCGACGCAGACCTTCCCATTTTAAGACTTTTTTTTTGTTCATGATTCATTCTCCTGAGAAAGTAGAAGGGAGGCAGTGTGGTGGCTTCACCAAGCTACTAAATACAGTTATTCAAATCCCCACTCCGGGTATGTCTCTCATTAAACCCAGAGGAAAAACACGGCTCTCACTCAGAGGGACCGGATGATGGAAAACAACTCCCAACATGAGCCGTAGTGTCATTAATCTGCCTTTAACCATTTCAATTTGAACATCTGAGGCGGTATCTCCACACCTTTATTTCACAACTTGGCTTGAATAAAATATCCTCCTCATTAAGCGCTCTTCTCCTCCTCTCACAGGTGCGTAAAAGCACCCAGTGGTGACGGAATAAAACCAACATTTGTCTACATTTAATAAAAACGGTTCCGTGTTAGTTTTTACGCACGGATGGAGATCTTCGCGCACAGGCCGTCACAAATACTGATTGATAATTCGCCTTTTCTGGGGTGCTGTGTCACCCCTGGGAGTATGGGAACACTTTTCAGGCACAAAAGCTTGAGGATTTTCTTAAGTTCTTCACGGAGCTCATCAGCAGCACCGCTCCATGTGCTCAGATATACATCCCAAACCCAAATAACACGAGATTCAAAGAGCATGCGAGTTTGGACTTGACTGAAATGTGTTTGAAACTTTTTAGCTTCCCGGAGTTGTAAACCGCAAACCTTCCCCTCTCCCTCTCCCTGTCTCTCTCTCTTTCCCCTTGGCAGACGATTCAAAGGCACCACTTTACTCCGGGAGCCCGGCTCTGAATTTATATGGAGCTTTTACGCACATTAAAAAAAATAAAAGCTTAAGGAAAGTTACATCCAATGAAGAAAGGAAGTTTTTTCTGATGTAACCTTTTTTTTTCTAGAACCAAGGGATCAGAGGACAGATCGTGCGAAAATTACTTTATAGGACACTTACCTTCCAGAGTCTCAAAGTGCGAAGTTATCTGGAGGATGCCGCTCTGATATCACCAAGATTTCTTGAAAAGTGTCAAGTAAAACGATTTCACAAAAAAAAAGAAAACACAAGTTGTCCTCTGCAGTGTCCAGTAGTTCCCCCAGCTTTCTCTTCTATTGTTGGTGCCTATCAATCGGATTAGGCGACCGCTCTGGTGCGTGTTTGCAGTTTTCTTGCGGATTTAACTGGTCTCTAGTGGGCAGGAGTGTGTGTGAGAGTGTGTGTGAGTCAGTGAGAGGGGATCCTGAGTGCTGGCAGTGCGTCCCTCCCCTGCCGCGCTGCTGCTATTGAAACCTCCTCTGGATTGGAGGTAAAAAAAAAAAAAACTGGTGCGAACTTCTTCCCTCTGCGCGCTCAGTAGGAAGAGTGCAAGACTCAGAACCAGCCCACTTCTTCGACACAGCTCTGAAAAAAAACAAACCAGAGACCAGACAGATTCACTTTGACTCCCAAACTTTAAACACACACTTCTTCAGAACTGATCTGCTCCCTATAACTCCTGTAGCTTTTACTTTTAAAGTCAAAAACAAGATTTGAAGCTTCATGTTGGAGCTGTGTGGACTCCCTGTTGCTGGTAAAACAAGATGTTACCAGGGTATCAATGTGCAGACAGCGGGGTTCCCCTTCACATCTTTTATTTCCGAACTGTTTACTCTGATGTTCCCTGCAAATTATTACTTTGGGGAGTTGTGCCTTGAACGAGTCACGCAACCCTCCGGGCTATGCAGTGAGTAGGCATGTTATATCACAGGCCCTGATACCTGAGTGTGCAAAACACAATTAAAACACACCTTTTCTCCACACGGAAGCACCAAAGACGGTGAGAAAAACTAAACAATGCGTCTCTGAGTGGAGTGGATTTGTGCACAAAGGCCTTTCACTAAGACAAAGTTGCTGATCAGCTGTGGAAGTTCCCACCGAGACAGAGGTGTTGTTTTGTGTCCCTGCGCTTCAGCAAATATTTATCCAAGATAAGAGCAATTCAATGCCTCAGAGCTGAATAGCCCCTGAATTTATGACTTGATGGGGGTTCAGTGCAATCTAGATTTAGAGGATGCTGCCGTTTCCTTTCAGGAGGTGGAGGAGGAGGAGGAGGACCGTCTTTCATGTAGTGTGAGGCTGCAGGTTTTTACGCATGGGAAGCTGCAGGTTGCATTCAGCGTCCTGCAGGACCAAGACACACACACACACACACACACACACACACACACACACACACACACACACACACACACACGAGCTAAAGCACAACAGAGTATATTTAAAGTAGATTAAAAAGCAGCCAAAGATGACAGAGAAAACAGCACAAACAATATTAAGTTGCATATTTAAGACAATTTTTAATTGTTTTGATAAACTAAAATTGTTCTGTGACTTTATTAGTTCAAACCTGAAAATATCTCTTTTTTACCAGAAGCAGCAGATTTGTTGGACAGCAGACCGTGGTGGTCAGTCAGTGTTGGTACAACAGCGTCATCTAGCGGCTGCAAACAACACTGTTCAAGGTTCCCTGAGGAGAAAATGTGAGCTATTTTAAAACCATTTTCCAAAGTGATCACTTGTAATCCTTTGTCTATATTGCATTTGTATTTATCAACGTCTTTTTATTGTCTTAAGTGTTTATTATTATCAGTTTATCCTCTTTCAACTTTCTGTGTCTCCTGGTTTCTTGCCTTTTTTAACTTCAGTCCAACTTTATGTTTTCTCTTACTAGTTTGGTCTTGCATATGAATGTTATTTTAGTTCCTCTGTATCTTTCTTTGAAACAGACACAAACACAAGAGTCTGTCAAATCTTTATATACATTCTTCTGCTGTGTAAGTGGTCACCGTTTTCAGTTTGTTTTCTGCTCACAAAAGTTATTTCTTTTTATACTCAGGGCATATATGTATGGTGGCCAAGAACCGCCACTGCTGCAAATAAAAAAAGGATGTAAAAAAAGAAGTCACAATGGAAGTTACTAATGCAAAAAAAAAGAAAACGAAGCCTGCTGCAAATAAAAAAAGAAACGGTGCAGATAAAATTTATTAAAAAGCCACAACGGTAGTTAATGACACCAAAAAAAAGTGGTGATGGAAGTTAATGATGCAAAAAAAATGGCAACGGAAGTTAATGACTGCAAAAATAAAAGCCACAACAGAAGTAGGCTGCCGGGGACCAATAATGATGTTGCACTGGTGTTTTACCATCTTAGCACAGAAGACGACGGCAAAAAGACGAGCAAAGGCATTAGTGGAAAGATTATTGTTTAATTTCACTTCGTAAACTTTTCAATGTGTCATTTGGTTAGGCCATGTAGCACCTGAGTTGATATCAAGTTGAACTGGAGGATGCTGGTGTAGTGTTAACTTCAGTAACTTTTTTTTTCTATCGCCACTTTTTTTGTGTCATTAACTTCCGTTGTGGCTTTTTTTATCTGCACCTTTTCTTTTTTTATTTGCAGCGGGCATTGTTTTTTTTTCTTTCTTTCTTTCTCCTCCCTTTTTTGCATTGGTAACTTCCGTTGTTACTTTTTTTTTTTTTTGTATTCATTTTTATTTGCAGCAGTGGCAGTTTTCAGCTACCTGTATACGTGACTGCAAAGAAAACAGAAATATGTTTTCTGTCCTTCATCACAAACTTTTTCTTTCGGTGATTGTGAGATTGCTCCTCAGCTCCATGCAGGTCTTTTTATTTTGTGCATTTACTGTGACATGGAGGTTCTGAATACTCATGCACATGTGTAACCCCCACACGCTTGAACATGAGTGTGCGTGTGTTGGGTTATTGATGCCTGGACTCGTGATTAGTGCTGCAGTGACTTTCACATCCTTGGGATTAAAATAGATGCCAAATTGAATCTGCTATTAGCCACACCAGCAAGCTGTGAAAACGAATCCTCTCCGGGGACATGTACACTCACAATGACCCAGACGCACACACACACACACACACACACACACACACACACACACACACACACACACACACACACACACACACACACACACACACACACACACAGTGACCCAGCTTCATGCCAGAATGCTGAAAATGTATCCACACCAGGGGGAGTTTAGTACAGATGGAGGGAGGAGGTGCAGATTGCTCCTGTAAAGTTAATCCCTCAGCTCTGTTTCACCGCTGGGACACACACAAAAAAATCTCATTTCAACAGATTTATTGAAGAAAACTCGCACAAAAAACATTTTTCACCTTTATTCTTCTTGAGCCAAATATGCACTCTTCCAAAAACACCCTGCTTCACACAGTCACATACTGAACACGCACATCTGGTACTTCATGCTGTCGGTCACCGAACAGATCCAGCTGAGCATCAGGGGGGAGATAACTGTTGCTCAATGTCAGCGTGATAGTTTTTAAATGACACATGTTGCAGATAGCAGTGCTGTTTGTTCTTTTCTTAGACAGAGAGGGTCTCTAGGGTTTAATTTGGACTTCACTCTGCTAAGGAAATGGTTCCTGAAACTGTTTTTACCAAAAAGAACAGGAACCTGCTAAGGACACATTAAGGAGATTTTTTCTGCACACTGTTATTTGCATCTCAGCAAAAGTAAAAACACTTGTGCAGAATTGAAGAAAATATGCAGTTAACCTCAAATTTTTAAACTACGCCTATGAGTGATATATTTACAAATACAAAAAAATTGGTGTGTATGTGTATTTGTGTAAACATGATGCTGTATCTCAAATTATAGGTTTGTCAAATTTGTCTGTGCCACTTTAGTAACACTCGGTACAAACCTCTAGCTCACTTGAAAAAATAAATGGCATGCCCCAGGGCTCTGTTTTAGGACCCCTATTGTTTATGATTTGTTCAATTCATTTCAATTCAAAGCTTTATTGCCATGTCAACTCCAACAGTTGATTGGAACTTATCTCAGTCAGTACATTTACATGTTCAAAAACACGTAAACATGGTAGCCCAACTGAATTCGAACTTCTTATAGTCAGACTAACATACCTGAATGATGCAGTTTGGGGACTTTCTCTGTCATGTTTATGGCTCAACTAAAACTAGCCTCAGTGTTATGCACAAGCGCCGGTGTTTACATGCCAGAAGTTGACTAGCATGGATGTGTGACTAAAGGAAGCCAGCCAGTTAATAAAACCTTGACGGATGAAGAAACATTTTTTAAAAAGATGAAACTTTATTATCATACAAACAAATGGTAAAGGGCTGTAAAAGTGATGATGCTTTCATCATTTGATATACATCCCGTTAGCCTCTTACTCACGTATTTTGCTGACAGTTTTGATTAGTAATGCATTTACCAGGAGACTAATCCATAGCAATGAGCTGAAAGGCAGCCACTTTTAATTTTGGTCTAGTGTATGTAAACCAGGACGAGGACAGTAGCCCAGTTAAGTTGCCTGGTTCAGCCATAACCCTACTCTGACTTTACATGTAAATCTACTGCATGAGTTCTTTGTGAGTACAACAAACATGCAAATAAACAACGAACAACCCTTCCTCCTGTGTTAGCTTTTGCTACGCACCCAGCATTTTAAGGGTTGTTTTTGACCCATGTCTTAAATCAGCTGTAAATTAAACTAAAACATTTCTCTATCATCCAATTTGGTTTTCGTCTCTAGGTTACCTTGTTAGGCTTCATTGTCCATATAATATCCAGCCTTATAATATTTTTGTAGTGGGCCTCTGGGCCTTCTTTGTCAGTGTACCCCTCATACAGACATCCATACTGAATTGATCTCACATGTCTGGACATAACAGAGGTTTTTTTTTTGTGCCAGGAAAAACATGGCGAAATGAGAATTTCCTAAATCTTACATGATTGGAAGAGGATCTGACTGTCAGTGTGGTGCCTGACAGTTCACTTACGATTTCAGGTTCTGCTCTAATTATTAGATATCGTTATAACCGGGTCAACAGTGACCCTAACACAACAAGTGCAATAATTTTACTAAGAGCATTTTATAATTTAGTCAACTAAATGTTTTTATTTTTATTTTATTGAAATAGAGGTTCCTGACAAAGTCATAAAGTCTTGATGCAAAATAGCTCATTTAAGTGGTTCTTTTAAGCATTTAAATTCAAAAACGGGTCAGTGCAGACCCTAACACAGGAGGAGGGTTATTGTATGTATTTAAGATTGACAATGATTATTGCACCAAATTATCAAAAAGATAACAGTAAATAACTAAAACTTTATGATTAAAGCCTAAAACTGAAGTTCATTGAGAATATTTAATTGGGACCATTGTTTCTTACAGTTTATACCAATAATATTCGTCAAAATTACTCTGGTATAAATTTTCATTTGTATGTGGATGATGCTTCCTAAAAGTTTTAGACCTGTAGCTCTGAAATTATAAGAACAATGTCAAGAGTTCATCAGTGAGAGACCTCAGTT